CTCTCTTTTTGTTTCTCTTCTCTCTCTCTCTTTTTCTTTCTCTCTCTCTCTCTCTCTCTCTCTCTCTCTTATATATATATATATATATATATTTATATATATATATATATATTGTTGTCCGTTTTTGGAGAGGGGATTGGTATATGTCATCTCTGTTATATTGTTAGTGCTGTTTATTATATCTCCTTGCCTTTTTTTTGACTTCCTTTTCATTGTTGATAATGTTGCTCTTTTTGTCATTTTCGTTTCTATTTCTTTTCTCTCGTTTTCTCGTAGCTTATATATTACCATCGTCATAATTTTACCATCACAACCACACTATCATCATAGTGGTGGTAGCTAATATTTACGATTATTTTGATATAATGCATGTGAAAATAAAGAAAAGAGAATTGTAGGTTACTCTTCTGATGATTACCTATGACATGATAAAAGTCCTTAATAAACAGTATGGAACCGTTTTGTTCCCAACCAGAGAAGAAACATAAAAAAAACTATAGAATTGCCATACCATTACGTACTCTCATTTGCTCAACCATTTGTCTTCAATATTTGCGCAGAAAAGGCATGTAGGCCTACTGTACTTTGACGCAAGGTACTTATAACAGGTAGCACCACTGTCTCGATGAAAATCCTAGTTGGCAACTGCCTAGTTAAACCCATTTACTCTATATACTGCACATTTTAATAGGGAATCTCTATTTTCTGTCTTTGTTCTCTACCGCCAATTGTATTACTTTCATTCCTTTATTGTATGTTTCATTACTGAACTATTCTCAAGGAAAATATACTGAGAAAACATTTTCCATAATGTATCACAGAATGAAAATGGGGTGGAGCCAAATGACGTCATCGCAGTGAGAAAGCAGAGATGGCTAGATAAACATTTTTTGTATGATTTACTCATAATAACACTCAGAAATTAAAAAAAGAAAGCATTTCTCCTATTAATGATAATGAAGAGGTTCCATACCTAAAACCGCTATCAGATAAGGGGATAAAGTTTATTTCAGTTGAGGGTTCAACAAGGTAATTGGAATCAGTGTTACCAACTTTTTTTAAAGCTCAGACTAGACACTGTACAAAACAATTGCGCAAAATGTATCTGTACTCTTTTATACAATCGCCCAACAGCTGTACAGCAATTTGTTGTTCCACAGCGTAGCAACGGTTGTGAAGCACGGGCGTATTTGTATTTTCAATAAACACAGTATTTAATGTCATGAGGTAGATGACTTAGTTAATGTACAGCCAGTATATTCTGCCACTTCATTTACATGACTCAAGTTCTTGATGCTACAGCTGGAGCTTATGACCTTTTGTTTTTATATTCTATATTCTTTAAGTTCGGGAATATACTGATAGTGACTAGTCTGAAAAATACACGTGAATTCATGTCAGTATATTGTAGATTCCGCAAATCCCATGACGCTTGTATTTTCCTGTGTTCGATCTTATTCATAGCAACCCCACAAACCAGAGGAAGTCAACAAACAACGAACCAGTGAACATGAAATGATGATGAGGCGTGTTGTTAGTTGTTAGTAACTTTGTGTTTCTCGTATCCAGGGGGACACCGGAATTTTTGAGCAACAGTGGAAAAAGAAATTTAGATTTTGCTCAATTGCTGAGTATCTTTTTCTGGACGCGGGTATAAAATCTTGTCTCGCAAGTGTTTTCCAACAGTTTCGAGGCATTTTTGATTTGTTGAGACTGATTTGCATACAGTATTGAGCAACAATGTATCTTGGATCTGGACTAAGCTTATTTTACATTTGCCTTTTCATTTTTATTAATAATTACATATTTTCTCTCCACCCCTAACCCACCCATGCACTATCTACCTCCCACCACCACTGGCCCAACTAATCACTTACCCACCCATTAACCCACCTCCCACCACCCACCCACTTGCCCACCTCCCACCCCTCCACCTACCCACCCACTCGCCACCTCTCCACCCACTCGCCCACCTCCCCACCCATCCCCCACCCCCCCACCCACCACTCGCCCACCTCCCCACCTACTCGCCCACCTTCCCACCCACCAACTACCCACCAACCTACCCACCCACCCAACCCCAACCCAGATCGCGTGGGCCAAGAAATGAGGTCAGATGGAAACTTCTCGACCTATGACCTCTTCGGCAACACGCCCTCAGGTTCCAGCAGAGGCAGGGCCGTCTTCACGCAGCCCGAGGGCGTGGTGGGCCGTTTCCTCAGCATCCAGATGTTTTCCGAGACCAACATGCGGGTGTGTGACCTGGTCGTGTTGGCGGAAGATTTGAACTGAGGTGAACAGCGGTTGGATCCCTTTTATTGTTGTTTGTGTGATTGAATTGCTTTTGATTTTGTATTTTTTTTCTCTCTCTCGTTTCTTTCTTTTTCTCTTTCTTTTCTCTCTCTCTCTTTCTCTTTCTCTCTCTCTCTTTCTCTCTCTCTCTTCTCTCTCTCTCTCTCTCTCTCTCTCTCTCTCCTCTCTTCTTTCTTTCTTTCTTTCT